ATTCCCTCCTAGGAAGGAACTTGTGGACCCGTCTGGGCTGTCGGAAGAGCAGCTGAAGGAGATCCCGTACACTAAAGTAGAGTGAGTGTGACCGTCTTTGCCATTTTATCAGTGGGAAGGTGGATCTTGATCTCCATTGCCTTGACAAAACACCACGGCCAAGGAAGCTTGCAGAAAGCAAGCATTTAGTTTGGCTTACAGTTTCAGAGGGTTAGAGTCCAGCTTAGATCTGGGACAACACATCAGGGGTGGCAGGACCAGCCGACAGCTCATCCTGATCCACAGTAGGGGGCAGAGAAGGCACACTGGAATGGCCCACCCTGGTGACACACCTCCAGTAAGGCCACACCTCCTAATCCTTCCCAACAGTTCCAATTGGGTACTAAGTATTCAAACATGAGCCCATGGGGGCCATTACCATTCAGACCAGCACAGAAGGGGACACTTCATTCTTTCTTTATGTTCCACGCAGTGTCTCAGTTTGTACATTAACCAAAGATTAATGTAGGGAAGAGGTAGGAAAGGTAATATAGAGCTATTTCCTCTGTGAGGTGGTTCAGGTTTCCAGACCTTTTAAAAAAAGCAGTCTGAGCTAGGTGTGGAGGTGCATGCTTATAACCCAGCAGTTGGGGTGTGGAGCTGGGAGGATGGGGGTTTAAATCATCTTCAGGTATGCAATGGGTTCCAGCCTGACGCCAGCCTGCACTTCATAAGACCCTGTACCGAACAAACTCCACCTCCAGCATAAAAACAAGAGTACCAAAGGCAGTTTGAAAGTTGCTTTTATAGTTCAGTATTCAGGAAAAGCTGCCCATTTTCCTGCTCTGACTGTTGAGTGCTTCCTTGCTGCCCTCTCAGGACTCAGGGCGACCCGGTCCGCATCAGGCACTCACATTCTCCGCGGAGCTACCGGCAGTACCGCAGGTCCCAGTGTTCAGACGGAGAGCGGTCGGTTCTCTCGGAAGTGAAGTAAGTGGCCAGTCTCACGGCTCCACACGGCAGCCCGCAGAGCTCCCCGCATGGCAGAGCTTAGGATCGGAGGTCTGTCCCGGTCACAAGTTCTGACGCTTTCTCTTTGGCAGCTCGAAAACAGATCTTGTGCCACCACTTCCAGTGACCCGTTCCTCAGACGCCCAGGGGTCCGGTGGCTCTACAGTGCATCAGGTTAGTGAGCTTTTAAGGTGTCCCACTGATGACTGTAAAAAATAGGCATTTTATTTAGTGTGCATGATGTATGTGGGCATGGTCAGAGAACTTCTTTGAGGATGTCTTACATGGGCTTTGAACTCAGGTAATAAGGGTTGAACTGCACCGGTTTTTACCCATTGAGCCATCTTGCCAGCCCAGCCCAACACTTTAACATTCTTTTTTTTTTTTTTTTTTTTTTGGTTTTTCGAGACAGGGTTTTT